CCAAGAAGGCTGGCATTCCTGAGCTCCCCTGGGAAAGTAACAATTGGAAAGATAGTTCTGGACAGACCACCACCCCCAGGGCACTGCACAGACAACAAACTGAAACACAACCCCAGTCTTCCTGTGAAAAAAGCATATTTACTTAGCCTTGGGCTTCTGCCTAAGGGATAGGCTTCAGGTTTCCCACACATCTACAGGCTTAGGAGGCTCTCCCAGAGAACGTAAACAGAGACGCCATCCTATCTCACTGCCTTGGCCTTGCTACAGCTCAACAAGACCTCCCAGAAAGGAGCTTATACACTCATCTGGAGCCCCGATTTTTACAACTATCACTCAGTGGACACCTCTAGATCTCCTGGTATATAGGCCAGCAGGGATTATGATTGTGGCCTCACAGGACTGTATATATTTGCCTATATTAAAAGCTGCTTCCTGAGGGTCTGGCTTCCAATCAGCCTGAAACTAGGAGCTAAATGAGATTCCTCCCCTTGGAACATAGACAGATCTTGGCACATCCTCAACAACGGGGACCTATCTAGAATAAGTTTAGACAATCACAAAGGTTAGAGAGAAACCAAGAATGAGGGGAAGGTCTAATGAGAATGTTCATGACCTATACAGCACCACTCTTTTAAGAGTGAGAGAGGTGGCTGTTTTACCTATCAGAAAAAAAACACAGAGAGCCAAGCAAATGAAGAAACAGAAATATGTTCCCAGTGAAAGAACAAGATAGGACCTCAGAAAAAGACCTTAGTGGTATGAAGATAAGTAATCTACTTGAAAAAGAATTCAAAGTAATGGTCCTAAAGATGCTCATTGAATTTAGGAGAATATATTAACCCAGTGAGAACTTCAACGAAGAGACGGAAGACATAAGAAACTGCCGGACAGAAGTCACAGAGCTGAAGAATACAATAATGAACTGAAAGACACACTACAGGGGTTCAACAGCAGATTGGATGAAGTAGAAGAACAGATCAGTGAGCTGGAAGACAAAGCAATGGAATTCATCCAGACAAAGCAGCAAAAAGAAAAAATAATTTTTTAAAAAATGAATATAACTTCAGAGAACTATGGGACAACACCAAGCAGAATAACATTTGTGTTGGAGGGATCCCAGAAGGAGAATAGAGAGAGAAAGAAGCAGAAAACTTATTTGAAGAAATAATGGCTGAAAACTTCCCTAACCTAGGGAAAGAAACAGATAGCCAGGTCCAGGAAACCCAGAGAGTTCCAAAGAAGATGAACCCAAAGAGATCCACACTAAGACACATTATAATTAAAATGTCTGAAGTTAAAGAATCTTAAAAATAGGGAGAGAAAAACAAATTGTTATGTACAAGGGAAACCCCATAAGACTATCAGCAGATTTATCAGCAGAAACTTTGCAGGTTATCATTCAGAATCAAAGGAGAAAGAGTTTTCTAGGCCAGCAAAAGCTAAAGGAGTTCATCACTACTCAACCAGCCTTAAAAGAAATATTAAAGGGACTTGTTTCAGCTGAAAAGAATTGGCAAGAAAACACACAAAAGTAAAAATCTCTCTGGAAAAGGTAAACATATTGTAAAGGTAGTGGATTAATCACTTATAAAGCTACTAATGGTGAAAAGACAAAAGTACTAAAATTAACTGAAACCATAATAATTAGTTGAGGGATACATAAAATAAAAAGATGTAAAATGTGACATGAAAAACATAAAATTGGAGGGGGAGAAAAATGTAGAGTTTTGGAATATGTTCAAATTTAAGTTGTTATTAACTTAAAATAGGCTGTTGTAGTATACATAAGGCGATATATGTGAACCTCACAGTAACCACAAAGTAAAAACATATAGTAAATACACAAAAGAAAATGAGAAAGGAATGTAAATGTAATACTAAAGAAAATTATCAAACCACAAAAGAATAGAGAAAGAGAAGGAGAAAGGAACAGAGAGGAATTACAAAAGCAGCCAGAAAACAATTAGCAAGATGGCAAAAAGTACATATGACGTATCAAAATCTATGAGATGCAGCAAAAGCAGTTGTAAGAGGGAAGTTCATAGCAATACAGGCCTACCATAAGAAATGAGAGAAATCCCAAATAAACTATTTAACTTTACACATAAAGGGGCTAGAAAAAGAAGAACAAATGAAGCCCAAAGTTAGTAGAAGGAAGTAAATAATAAAGATCAGAATGGAAATAAATAGGGGTGCCTGGGTGGCTCAGTTGGTTAAGCGACTGCCCTCAGCTCAGGTCATGATCCTGGAGTCCCTGGATCGAGTCCCGCATCAGGCTCCCTGCTTGGCAGGGAGTCTGCTTCTCCCTCTGACCCTCCCCCCTCTCATGTGCTTGCTCTCTCTCATTCTCTCTCTCTCAAATAAATAAATAAAATCTTAAAAAAAAAAAAAAGAATGGAAATAAATAAAAGAACTAAAAAGACAGTCCAAAAGGTCAATAAAACTAGACCTGGTTCTTTGAAAAGATAAACAAAATTGACAAATCTTTAGCTGGACTCACCAAGAAAAAAGAGCACTCAAATAAATAAAATCAGAAATGGAAGAGAGAAGTTACAGCTGATACCACAGAAACACAAAGAGTCATAAGAGACTACTATGAACAATTAGATGCCAACACTGAATAACCTAGAAGAAATGGATAAATTCCTATAAACTTACAATCTTCCAAGACTGAATCATGAAGAAATAGAAAATATGAGTAGACCAATTACTAGTAAGGAGATTGAATCAGTCATCAAAAACCCCCCAACAAACTACAGTCCAGGACCAGAGGGCTTCACTGGTGAATTCTATGAAACATTCAAGGAAGATTTAATACCTATCCTTCTCAGTCTCTTCCAATCAAAGAGGAGGTAATGCTTCCAAACTCATTGTACAAGGCCACCATTATCCCAAAACCAAAACCAGACAAGGATAACACCAAAAAATATTATAGGTCAATACACCTGATGAACAAAAATGCAAAAATACTCAACAAAATATTGCCAAACCAAATTCAACAATACATTTAAAAGGATCATATGTCATGACCAAGTGGGATTTGTCCCCAGGATGCATGGATGGTTCAACATCTGCAAATCAATCAATGAGATACACCACATTAACAAAGTGAAAAATAAAATGCATATGATCAGCTCAGTGACTGTTATCAAAAAGACAAGAAATATTAAGTGTTGGTGAGGTTGTGAAGAGAAGGGAATCCTCATGTCCTGTTGGTGGGGATGGAAACTGGCTCAGCTGCTATAGAGAACAGTATGGCGGTTCCTTAAAGAATTAAAAATAGAACTGCCGTATGATCCAGCAATCCCACTACTGGGTATCTCTCTGAAGAGAACAAGAACACTAATGTGAAAACATATATTCACTTCTATGTTCACTGCAACATTATTTATAATAGCCAAGATATGGACACGACCTAAATATCCATCAACAGATGAATGGATAAAGATGTGGCATATATATTCAATGGAATATTATTCAGTTATTTTAAAGAAAGAATAAAATCTTGCCATTTGCAACAACTTGGACAGACCTTGAAGTAAGTGAAATAAGTCACCCAGAGAAAGACAAATACCACATGATTTCATTTAAATGTGGAATCTAAAAAACAAAGCAAAAAAACAAAACAAAACCCAGACTCATAGATACAGAGAACAGATTGGTGGCTTGCCAGAGAAGTGGGGTTTGGGAGAGGGTGTGAAATGAATGAAGGGGATCAAGAAATACAGACTTCCAACTACAAAATAAGTCATGAGGGCAAAACGTACAGCATGGGGAATATAGTCAATCATATCATATTAACTTTGGTGACGTATTGTGATCATTTCACAATGTGTGCAGATATGAGATCATCACATTGTATACCTGAAACTAATATATTATTGTGTGTCACTTATACCTCAAAAAATAAATAAATGGGCTTGTGAAAACTTATAAACCATAAATTGATAAGAAAAATGACAGAGGCAAAATGAAAATTATTTTTTATTTGAATAAAGCATTTGCGGTCGATTTGGCAGAGCTGAATCTGAATCTCTAGGAAGCAGAGGGACAATTAGCAAGCATGATGAATCAGCAATGGCTTTTTTCCCTTGGCCCTGTGTGAAATGATGGAAAATTTCCTATTGCCAGTCTAATTTCCCAAGAAATTGGAATATGTATGGAATAAAGGCAGAGGTCTCTCAGAAGAGTCAGAAATCCTTGTGAGGGTGAACACATGAAAATGGGGAGAGTAGGCTGGTTCGTCTTGGACACTCTGACAAGTGAGAGATTACAGATTCTCAACAACTTCTGCTTCCACTGATTGTTCCTGAAATTTGAAGTCACTACCATGATGCCTATTTTCTTTATGGTTAGAAAACAAAAATGTAAGGCGAGAGCTCCAAGATGGAAGTTTTAGAGGAGTGTCTAGATCAGCATGCCCGACAGACCCGTTCTGTGGCCCAGACCCTGGGCACAGCACTTTGCAAGAAGAGACTTCATAAGCCTGTGTGCTGAGCACTCACTGTGAGTGGGGCTGCACTCAGCTCTCCCCCTAAAAACCCAGTAAGACAAACGCTAGCCTTTTCCCCATTTTCACATGAGGAAACAGACTCACGGAGGCTTATGGGATTTGTGCAAGGACACACACCTAGGACTGGGGCCACGCCTTATGAACCTGCCGATTCAATTTCTTGTAAGTCTTCAGAGGCAAATTGCCCTGAACACAGTGCTTTTTATGAGGGAGATGGCCGCGCTGCAGGGATTTTCAGACCTGGCATCCTCTCTCCAAGCTGAGGCTTTGTGCAGAAACCCAGAATACACAGTCAGTAATCCTGGGAGCTAGGAGGCTGTGAGCTGTCCCTATAATTGAGTGTCGCCCCTTTGTTTAAAGAATAGCACGGCCCACAATTCCATGTCATGCATATGTTTGTATGTGCCAGGTTAGCTAGCTAGCATCACGGCTCAAACAAGGCTAAACTCATCTGCTTAAGAATCTTAAGAGACAAGCCCTCTTCAGAGGGGACTTCTATTAAAGATTTATTTATTTATTTATTTATTTGACAGAGAGACAGCGAGAGCAGGAACACAAGCAGGGGGAGTGGGAGAGGGAGAAGCAGGCTTCCCGCGGAGCAGGGAGCCCGATGTGGGACTCGATCCCAGGACCCTGGGATCATGACCTGAGCCGAAGGCAGACGCTTAACGACTGAGCCATCCAGGTGCCCCAGAGGGGACTTCTGAAGGACGGGGTGCATCCACTGGGTCGCCGAGGACAAGATGATCTCTTCAGACCCAGTCTGGCTTTCTGGCTTCGAGGGTCTATGTGTGTTCAGTGATTCAGAGATGAGCACTGGCATCAAGAAGAGTAAAGATGCTGCCATTTTTTACATTTGATTTGTGGCAACTCTGGTGACTGGGTGTCTCTTTAATATGATAGAGTTTCATAGCACCTGGGTCAGCCCACTTGCTCTTCGGGGAGAATGAGGGAGCTCAAATCTCCCTTGCAAAGGGGAGGTTCCAGGTCTTTGAATTTCAGACCTGCCTCCCATTTTCCCCCCAAGATGGATTTCAGCACCTCTCTCTCCTCGAGTTGGATGTGAACGATGAACAGCCACTTATAGCCAAATTCCTTTTCCTTAAGTGAGAGAGAAAAGACAGATGGTGAAGAGTTTATTTTAGGTATTTTAACCTTGTCCACATGTTGTAACATTATAAAAAGAGTGGAAACTGGCACATATTAAAATCACCCATAATCCAATAACTTAAGCATAATAATTGTTATTTTATATGTCCCTATCAGAGCTTATATAGAAGTGTGTTGCATCACTGTGTATATAAGTCCTAGGCTTGGTCTCCACTGAGGTTTGCAGACTTCCTACTTGGTATGGCAAGGTGCTGTTCATTACCATGGCAAATTCCAGAATTATTGAGCTTGTCTCTCCATTTGTTCATCTTATTTCCAATTCTCCACGGCCTAGCTTTGACAACTATGATCCAGGTCAGTTCCCATTGATTATCCAATTCAGTGCAAAACCAAATTTCCGATTTTCCCTACAAACTGACAAAAAAATTTTTAGTCACCCAGGGTTGTCTGGTAATAGCAACAGGAAGGAGAGTCTATCAGAAAAAAAAAAATTTAATAGGTGGAGTTAATGTATCAAACCTATTAAATTGATGGTCTAACTGAAAAAATCTATTGATTATCTCATAGAACCTAGAGCTACATGAGAAAAGATGACTTTGAGAAACTGAAAAGTGCCTATTTCTATCATGAGCTATTATTATATTTGACTAAGGCTGTTCAGCTATAAGGATTTTCACCAGACTCCTCTGAGTTGTTAAAATATAATATAGTAACACTTACCATTGGATTTATGGACATTCCTTTTCTCTATAAAACATGGACAGTTTATAGCTCTCCAATCTTAAAAAGAGAGAGAGAGAGAAAGGAAAGGACCTATTTCATCCCACAGTGTAAAGAGGTGAACTTATGCCCAGATTAGCAAAGGTTCCTGGCCTGCCCTCAGGGAGAGAGGCAGGGGTGCTGGGGTGGTGCGGCTATTAGGATGATGGTTCAGCCTGAGCAGAGCCTCCCTGAAGAGGTCTCCAGGATAGCCATGGAGGGCATGAGGGACAGTAGCAGGCCCAGATCTCACAGATACAACATCATCTCAGCATCACATCTGGAGTGATAACTCCTTCTGTGGCTTGTGGCAATGGGTTTGGTTTTGCTTTTGTCCTTTTTCATTCAAGGACAACCCCAAACAGGCTGGGCCCTTCGTGTTGCACAGTTGTGGAGAAAAGTACATGGGTTCTGGAGTTTTCCATACTTCGCTACTACATCCTGGCCCCATAACTTACTACCCGTAACCTCTACATCTCATTATCCTCACCTGTGAATTTCTGATAACATTTTCATGCAGGATTGGGAGGATTGAATGTAATGTATATAAAGCATCAGGCACAAGGCCAGGCCGGCAGCAGGTGTGTAACTGATGGAAGGCATTGATATCAACATTTATGGCAAATATCTGAACTGCTTGCTTTTATTCATCACCCCCCCCCCCCCGATATCTCCACAGATCCTCATTCGGCAGATGCCATTCTCTTCCTAGTGACACATGAGAAATGGAAGAGAGCAGTACATACTCCCTTTGAAGGATTTATTTCTGGGGTTGGCTTTTGTGTTCTGTTGAAAGTTGGATGAGGGTATTGTTTGAACAGAGGAAAAACAAAGCAGATACAGATCCAGTGCAGTGGGTTGAATAAACAAAGGCTACAAGAAGGCAGCCCATTTGCCCAGTGGCCTTCGTGCCCCCTGCCCATAGCACCTGTTCCTGGACCCTTTCGCGGAGCCTGAGATTTTTCTCAGTGTTCTGCTTTGGCCCTTCTAACAGACACAAAGCACCAAGATACCCATAGTGTGTCTCTTATTGGCTGGGAGTCTGCCCAGAAGAGCCAGTGCCTTGAAATTAGTTCTAAACCCAGCTCTGCTACTTACTAGCTGTGTGACCTTGAGCAAGCCTTGGTGTTCCTGTCTGTAAAGTGGGGATAATAATTCCTACCTCAATGAGTAGATGTGGAGTTAGGAGGATGACATAGTTAGGGTGACTACATGTCCACGTTTGCCTGAGACAGTCTGGTTTATGCCTATCATCAGGTCGTGTTTACTGATAGTTTTCACTCTTATAGAGGTCTCAAATCGGATGATGGTCACCCTATATATACGGATACTCAACAATTGATTCTGCTCTGATTGTTGGTAATGATTGATTATAACGGTGTCACTAAACCAAAATGTCACTTTTATATTGTGCTTCCATGGAATCAAAAACTTCTAATTTTTCTTATTAGAAAATATAATAATTGGTGTGGATCCAAAAATATGCCAAATACATAATAAGCTTTTGCTGTTTTCCTATGATAGCTTCATAGATTGGGGGTATTTTGGTTTCCTTCCTGTAGAGACCTATAGGACTGCTTATTTTTTTTCTCAGTAAACTATGCTGTCTTCTGGATAAACTTTAGTCCATCTTTTCAAAGATCACATTCATTTAGGACATTCTTTAGGTACATAAAGTTTAGCCTTTTGTAGTCATTATTATAAATGTGCATTCATCTTATTCCGTCTTCTCTATTGTAAAAGCTATTTTTACTTACTGTCATTATTTTATTAACCAAGCTCCTCTAATGTACAAAGATGTGTTTGCTAGCATCTCTGATTCTTGAGCTCAGAGTCTGAAAATATAGCACCAAGAGAGGAGGGAGAAATAAAAATCTTCTCCTTAATTGTTACATGGGGTTTCATGTGAAAACACAGTATATGGGAACTTAGAGGGAAAAGGCACTGGGCTTGAAGATCCAGGGTGCAGATGTGGATGAGGACCTGGAACCCCTCTGGGGGCATCTCAAGGATCATCTTTCAAAATCTGGAACCCTCTCTTTGACCCAAGACACTGTTCTCTGGCCTTCGGCCAGGGTCATCCCGGCAGCCCGGCTGGGTTCCAGGAAGGGAGGGTGGCTGCCTCCCCAACCCACTGAGCCCTCTGGTTTTTTGCTGTATGTTTGGCACTCCAAACGGTTGAAACGAAAGGCATTGTTAGTAAAGGACGGGCTCTAAGTAACCTTTGAAGCAGGGTGATACTTTTCACATTATGGTAGGAAGAGAAGATTTACAGTCCTGGAGGATCCGCCCCTTTCCTGGCATTGCTCTGGCCTCACGGTTGCTTGCGGCTGAAACAAGAGGCCCACCATAAGCTGTGATTTCTGAAGCAGGCGCTGAGGGAATGCATCTTGTCAGAAGCGAAGCTGGGAGCCCGCAAGTGTGGTAACAGCTGGAAAACAAATGGATCCGCCTCATCGGGCTGACTGGTGCTTGCGTAGTTTGTGTTTTAATCTTTATGGGAATCCTTTTAACTTATGAGTGGGATTTACCACTTCAGGAAGGGCCGTCTCGTCCTCACTGGGTAGAACCAGCCTTGACACCCCACCAGTCCCACCCGATGTCTCCCTTGTCCTCACTGGTTAGAACCAGCCTCGACCCCCCCACACCCAGTTCCACCTGATGTCCCTCTTGTCCTCACTGGGTAGAGCCCAGCCTCAGACCCCCCCCCCCAAGTCCCACCGACGTCTCCCTTGTCCTCATTGGGTAGAACCCAGCCTCGACCCCTCTCCCAGTCCTACCCAATGTCTCCCACAGAGTCGGGGCCCGAACGTCGGGGTGCTGAGTTGTGGACTGGAAGGCTTGGCGGGACAGATGAAGATGTGTCTGCCCAGGACACCTCAGTGTGTGATTGGGGGCAATGCTATCTTCTCTCATATCATTCAGACTATTGAAAAGAACAAGCTGTGAGCAAATATTTTTAGCACCCAACAGCAGAGCAAGCACGACAAGGGGACAACGAAATGCTGAAATGCAACGACTTGGGGAGAGCAATCACCACCGCCACCTCCAGGTGGCGTCCTGTCTGGACAAGGCTGCAGATGTCCCGAGGGAATGTCAGTGGGAGGATGTTAGCTAGAAAAGCAGGGCCGCTCCTGAGCTCTCACTGGTCAAAAGATCTATGTGTTCATGGGTACCGTGGCCCTTGGCTGACACACCCGACCTGTTCTGTCTACACGAGCACTTTAGGCCGTGGTTGTGCTCGGGGGTGACCAGTAGGCAACTTGCTTTCACGGGCACACACTCTGCTCTTGAAGAATGGCCTCGTTTTCATCGTGGGCATGAGTCTCACACCCGAGCGGAGTCCCCTTTGTTGCCCTCTGAGTCCTACCCCCGCCGAGGGCAGCTCAGAGCTGGGCCTGCGGAGGGGCGCACCTTCTGCATGATCCCATCCTGCTCAGCCCTAATGTGTGTCAGCTTCCAGTAAAGCCTTCCCTAGCAGCCGGGCCTCAGTCCCCTTCTCTCCCCAGTGATTGCCACGCAGTCCCAGAAGCTAAGCCCCTCAGTTGATCACTTCACTATGTGCCATGATTTCAGGTGACCCTGAACTGAACTGCACTCCCCCCCTCAGGGGACAGCCCTGTCCGGGATCTCCCCCATGTATGTAATAGAGATTGAAACCCAGAGACGATGAAAAGAGAAGGCGGGAAGCAACCAGAGCCAGGGAGGGAGCAAGAGGAAAGAGAAGCCCCATGGGGTTGTCTCTGAGCCAGAGATACAACGGCTCTGTTCACCCACCAGCCAGTGGTGTCCAGGGGTGGTGTCATCCTTGTGTCCCCCTGGGGAGGCTGAGGCCCAGGGAGGGGAAGGCACTTACCCAAGTTGGACAGCCAAAACTGGCGGCGGCAGAGTGACGTCCGGAGGCAGGTGGCCTGGACCCGAGCTAGGAGCCACGTGACCCCTCACCAAAGGCGCTGGCGGGAATGGTGGGGACAGGTGAGGCTGACCTGCACTGGCCTGTGTCAGAAGAGCAGGGCACTTGGGGCTGGACAGACGGAGAATGGTCAGACGTGCCAAGAGACCTCCACAGCTGGGTCCAGGAGTTTGGACCTGGCACCGTGGGACAGGGGGTGTAGACAAGGGTTCTGAGCAGGAAAATGGCCCAGTGAGGGTTTCAGGACAAGCCTCTCTGCCAGAGAGGAGTTGGAGAGATGAGGAGAAGGGATGGGAAATGGGAAGCCAGCTGAAGAGCAGTGGCCTCACCCATCCAGGAGCCACGGAAAGTGGGCTCATGGCCCATGGTGGGGCTGAGGGCCCCCTTCCCAGGAGTTTGCTCTTCCAGGGCCAAAAATGGCCTAGGCATGGCCACCTGCATTCAACTAGGAGTCCAAGTTGAGTCATTATGAACGTCATAGACACTCATCTCAAAAACATTTCCTCCTGTCGGGGCCCTATTTCTTCATTTTTTAAAAACGTAAGGCTTTTTGTTTAAGTCACAGATTGACACAGTGAAAAGAAAATATCCCTCCAGACCCTCTAGAACCTTCTCTCAGAGGCAACCCCTACTTCCAGTCCCTCTTAGACATTTCCAGAGATGATCCATGCACATGTTAACACATCTGTGTATGGGGACGAGAAGAGTAGCAAGTACTTGTGTGATGTTTACTGTATGGCAGGCACCATCCTAAGTGCTTTGCAAATATCTTCCCAGGAACAGCTCTTAGCAACCCTCTAGGTAGGAGCTATAACTGTCCCCCTGTTTTCCAGATGGGGGAACAGAGGAGAGAAGGACTTCCTGAGTCAGGTCACTGATGTGGGGCGGAGCGGAGATGTGGCTGCCCGGAGCTGGTCCCTCTGCCCCCGGCCCCCTGCACTCACCTGCTGGCAGTCATTCTGTGACCAGCCACAAGCTTCTCCTCATGGTTTTAATGGTGCCCCAAATGCCATGGACTGGATGAACTCCGGTTGACCTAACCCGCTGCTTCTTATTGATGGGCATTTAGGTTGTTTCCAGTCCTCTGATTTCATCATATTTGTGAAGTGATTCATTGGGTCAAGTCATAAATTTGGACTTTTGTAGTCACTGTGTTATTTTCTTAAGAGTCATAACGAGACATTTGTTAAGCTGCTTATCACTGAACCTAGAATTCACCTCAGTTCAGAAAGTTGGTTTTTAGGAGAAGGAACCTGCTTTAATTTGCTTTTACTCTATGCATGGAAAGGAGAGGCAACAGATGGTCTCTGCTTTGAGTGGTAAGCCAGCAAGAGTTCATTCTAGTGTTTTGGCAGGGAAACTTTTAAGAACATTGTTGAAACACCCTCCTGGTACTCCGCTTCCATCTGAGTGCTTCTGGCATCGTGCGAGCTTTTCAAACTATGGATTACCAATCACAACGATAATTAGCATTAGTCACATGGAGACTTATATAAGAATAAATATTCAGTTTCATGTTGGCAGGTAATTTAGCCTGTGCATACTTTGATACTTAGCAATTACTCTGCAACCCTCATAGAGAAAACGTTTGAGGGTAATCAGTGGGCGGTTTATTTATTTATTTGGTAAAACCCAGCATATTATTTCACAAAGCCCTGTTGAAACAAATACTTGATCAATTATTGGTTGCTTTTTTTCTGCCTGTCTGCCTGAAACACTCACTTAAGAATCAGTAACGTTTGACTAATTCCCTCTTGGCACTTCATCTGGTATCAGCTCTAAAGTGTCCTAGGCTGAAGTTAGATAAGGGTGTGTGTTCTTTTTAAAGAACAAAACACATACACACCACATCATATACAGTCTAAGTTCGTACTGTCAAATAGCAAAGATAACCTATAGTATTTTGTTGTTAGTAAAATTCTGATTTATAATATCATTGCCGGAACACAAAAGTTTCTGTATGTAGTTGATCTTTGAGCTTAGCCTGCCTCTAGAATCATAGATGTACTCCTTCCACAAGTACGTACTGGGCACCTGTTATCTGCCAATGTGCTGGACACTGCAGGGAAGAAAGGGTAAGTGAAATGCGCATCTCATAGAGTTTTATGGGGCTTTGAGGTTGGGGATGAGAGCTGATATGTGTTGTAAAAAAGATCCCTCCCACAACTCTACAAACATACTAAAATACCATTCACCTGTATGCTTTAAAGAGGGTGAATTTTATGGCATGTGAATTATATTTTAATAATGCTGTTATTTTTCTGCATGTGGCTGTCCAGTTTTCCCAGCACCATTTATTGAAGAGACTTTTTTCCATTGGATATTCTTTCCTGATTTGTCAAAGATCAGTTGACCATAGAGTTGAGGGCCCATTTCTGGGGTCTCTATTCTGTTCCATTGATCTATGTGTCTGTTTTTGTGCCAATACCATGCTGCCTTGATGATCACAGCTTTGTAATGTAGCTTGGGGTCCGGCATTGTGATGCCCCCAGCTTTGGTTTTCTTTTTCAACAATCCCTTGGCCGTACATATATGCAATGGAATATTACTCAGCCATCAGAAAGGATGAATACCCACCATTTGCATCGACATGGATGGAACTGGAGGGGATTATGCTAAGTGAAATAAGTCAAGCAGAGAAAGACAATTATCATATGGTCTCACTCATATGTGGAACATAAGGAATAGCACGGAGGACCACAGGGGAAGGGAGGAAAATTGAATGAAGAAATCAGAGAGGGAGACAAACCATGAGAGACTCTGGACTCCGGGAACCAAACTGAGGGTTACAGAAGGGAGGAGGATGGGGGACAGGGTAACTGGGTGATGGGTATTAAGGAGGGCACGTGTGGTGATGAGCACTGGTGTTAACTCATGAATCATTGAACACTACATCAAAAACGAATAATGTACTATATGTTGGCTAATTGAACATAACAAAAAAAATAATGCTGTTATTTTGAAAAATCCCTCTGGGTTCATACGGGAAAATACACAGGAAGCAGATGGTGGGACTGAGCTCAGTGGTCCACATGTGTTTATAAGTATTTGATCATGACCAAAGAAAAAAAGTCCTTTGCCTACTATTGCAATAAAATTGAAAAGAATCGATCTCTCCATAATCAAGACTTCTATTAAGTTCAGAAGCCCCCACATGTTTATGTTTAGGGGATACCTAGATCAGTCCCTGAGCTGGCTACAATTAGGTCAGCAGAGCTAGTCTGAGACCTCATGGTACATGAGACACGAGGGCAGCCTGGTTTTCTTTGTATATACAGGATGAGATGGATTGGCCCCTCCAAAGAAAAAATGAGAGAGAGAAAAGAGCTGGCACTTCACTTTCTCTTCTTTTGAAGATTGTTACCAAAAGATAAACTAATGCTTAATAAAGACAAGTATAGGGCGCCTGGGTGGCTCAGTTGGTTAAGCGACTGCCTTCGGCTCAGGTCATGATCCTGGAGTCCTGGGATCGAGTCCCGCATCAGGCTCCCTGCTCGGCAGGGAGTCTGCTTCTCCCTCTGACCCTCCTCCCTCTCATGCTCTCTGTCTCTCATTCTCTCTGTCAGAGAAGACAAGTATACCTTAATCTTTGCTAAGGCTGGGGGGTGGGGCACACGTGCATCCAGAATATACCTTTTATTCCTCAGTTCAAGGTGAATTTGGTAGAATTTAGTCACTTGGAAAATGCAGCATCCTGATCATTATTGGAACAAATTATTTTTTCAAAATTCTGGCTAATGAGCCCAAGCTGTGTTACATTAACACTGACACCATATTCTCAGAATGAATTTTCACATCTGTGTGAGAAACTTTTTTCCAAGTCTGTGGATGAGCACACATCAAAGAGGAGAAAATCCTCATTTGGAAGATAGGAATCTGAGCCCGAATCCTCATCAGCACGGTGCCTGCCCGTCGCAATGCACAGCCAGGCTCTTGAGCTGCATGGCAGCAGGGCTGGGAGCACATGGGAGCCGATTTCCATCTCCTAGGACAGTAATTAAGCTCCAGATAACTCCCGTTCCTTTCCTGTCTCCTATAAATTCTGCATTCCACATTGGACTTCACAACTGCTCCATCCTGAAAGTATTATTTGGTCTAATTTGTTTCAAATAACAGAAAACCTAACTCAAAATGGCTTATGCACAGAGGGTGTTCATCAGCTCATGTGGTCTCCCTCGTTCTGTACTTTGCTCTTTGTGGGCTTCGTCATCAGTCTGCATCTGACCACAGGAAGCATGGAGGCTGTTGGCAGGTCCAGAGTCATGTGGTCTTAGGTTCCCTCCCCTTTGAGAATACATCAACTCTCTTTCACAGTCTCTGTGACAATCAGTGAAGGAAAAAGACTGTAAATGGAGCGCCCATCCCTTGAGGACCACTCACTGCACCCAGGAGAGTGGGGTGTTCTGCATGTCTAGCCTGGGGAACATGCCCTGGGTTAGGTGTGCATGTAGCCCCACGTGGTCCCTCAACCCTTGGCTAGAAGATAACTTAACCGCCCCATCTCACCTGCAAACAGTGGTGGAGAGGAAGCAAGACCACAGCAATAGACCTCCTCCCCCAGTCTGTGGAAGGAGCTCGGAAAGGAAAGATACTTTCGGCAGGTTTGGATGCAGTTACAGGGATGAGTTCTCTCCATCTGGGAAGGCTCTCCATCTCCATTCTCTCCAGAACCTCTCCTTGGGCAGCCCACCGTGGTTGCAAATGGCGGCGGCAGCTTGTGCCTCCCATTGTGATACCGCAGCTGCTCAGCAGGGAAGAGAGGAAGTCCCTCATGTCAGAGTAAAACCAAGATCCATTGTTGGTGGAGTTGATTCCAGCAAACCAAAAAGACCGAGAATGGGACAAGGGTAGTTAGCTGAAGGAAAATATGGGGCCACTGGCAGAAGACGGGGGCCAGAATGCCACCTGCCTGGAAGCCATCCATACATGCCCACTGCAACCTTTCCATGAGCTCCCAGACTGCCCAACCTCTCATGGCTTTCCTCCCTCCCTATCACCCTATTCCTGGTGCCCAGAAAACTCTCACTGTGGATCAGCCTCGCCCTCTGCTCTGTCCCTCTGCCTCCCAAAGTGCAGAGCACCAGTGGAGAGAAATCTCTCCTCCGTGTACAGATGTCCACATCTCATCCCTGATGACCTCCCTGTCCTAGTCATCATTTCTCATCCCAATCATTTCAAACGTACACCTCCTCCTACCATCCTCTTCACTGGACTCATTTATTCAGGCTTTAAGAGAGACTCGCCCACACATCCTGTCACCAGAACATCTTCCAGGATGTTCTCCCTTGTGCCTCTCCCTCCCCCATCATGCTTTGCTCTTTCCCATCTAACAGGCAGAATGCCATGCGGTCATTGCCTCAATACTAGACTGGGACCTGCTGGGGCCAGGTGCTCAGTGACTCAGTGGGGCTGGCACTCAAGAGTGGGAGCGAGGAACTAGCTCCCTTTCTTGAG